GTTTGTGTTTGTATAAAGCGAGAGAAAATTGTATATACAAATACAAATGCATATATTTTTGTTCTATACACTTATGATTATACAAATACGATCTTTCCCTGCCCAATTTTCCTTTGTCTTTCTCTCTTTCTCGCTTTATACAAACACAGATTATACAATTGATCTTTTGTATATGTATACCAAAACAGAAACATATTATACAACTGCTTTCTTTTGTATATGTATAGCGAAATATACATATTTATGTTTGCTATGAAGCACAATTATGCAAATTATAGCTATAACATACAAATATGATTTTTATGTTTGCTATATGTGAAAGTTGTTTTTTTTTTTACTCCCTTTATTTCAATTTGTTTGTTCTATTTTTCTCTTTAGTCCCTTTTTTTTAAAAAAATAATTTATTTCTTTAGACAATTTTTTTTAAGTTGAAGACCCAAGCATGAAAGAACATTTTTCGTCAAAAGTAATTTTTACTGTCTTAAACTTTATACAAAATCAAAATAAAACAAATAAATTAAAATGAAAAAGTACTAATGTTTCATGAATTTCTTCACCAATTGTCCCTCTCAAGTTTGATAACGACTTATATAATGAAGGGTCATTAGGTTTGAAGAAATTATTTATTCTGATATTATTTTTTAGTGAATATTTGGTTTATTGAAAAAATAGTATCATAAAGATATTTTTGTCATTTAAAATATTTTATTCCGAAATAAGTTATATTATGATTATTATTTTACCCAAATAAGAATAACTTATCCTAATAGTATAACCGACAAATATTTCCAATAATAGTAGTGAAGAGGCAAAAAAGAGCATATCTTACCGGTTCCATAAAATCTTGAATAAAGTTTAGTTTGTTCTCTCATATCCTATAAATTCTCATTATCCACCCATTAATTACAAGTAATTAATGTAATTAATAAAAACCACCAAACTAAAACGCACTAATCCCATTATCCCACGATCAATCATCAGCACAAACAAAAATAACAACTCCCCTGTTTCTCTCTCTACACACATTCCCACGTTCCTTCCCCCCATTAAACCCCCCTCTTATTACTTAAACATAACTATAATAAGTCTCTAATTTTGAGTTGAAATTTGAAGAAAAAAAGAAGAAACATTGTTACAGAAGAGAGATATGAGAGGAGGAGATATAGAAAGCAGAGGAGAAAAAAACAGGGGAAGCAATCATGCTTCTTCGCATGCTGTGGAAGACACAGATACGCCGTGGCTTTCTTGGTTGATTCCTTTGTTTGTGGTGGCTAATGTTGTTATGTTTGTTATTGTCATGTATTTCAACAATTGTTCCAAACATGATCAGGGTTGTGTAGCTAGGTTTCTTGGAAGGTTTTCTTTTCAGCCGTTGAGGGAAAATCCTCTGTTTGGACCTTCTTCTTCAACGTAAGTTTGAATTTTTTAGATACCCCATGTTGTAATTTTGGATATTTATGTGTTCTTGAGTCGTTTATTGGGTTAAAGGTTGAGTCTTTATGGTTGATGCTTGTTTGTGTTAAAGAAATTTTAAGTATAGGAGATACAATTAGTTATGTAATTACTAGCTGTATTTGGTTTGCTTATAGGATTTCCTTTTCAGTTACTGTTTCTTGTGTAATTGCCAAAAAGTGTCGGTTGAGAGCGCGGTAAAAGAAATATAGTATAATTTTTAATTTGGATTACTTCTTAGACCTTTGTGTTCTTGTTCAAGCTTTCCAGTAGCTGCTGTAATTTATTTTTTCATTTGCTGTTTGAGGTGACTAGTAAGCAGATTGCTACTGGTTTACGCCAGTTTCATCTACATGGCCCCTTTTCAACTTTTGTTTGTCTGTTTGATTGCTACGATTAGTTATATTCACTTGTTACGACATAGAGTTCAAAGATTTCGCTAATATAGAAGTCAGTTATACATTTATCCCAAATTAGTCAGCAATAAACATATAGGATTGATATTCATCATCATCATTTAACTGTATTGGTGACTGTGTCAACCTATCCCTATGTTTTGCACATAGCAGATTTAGAGATTTTACTGACATATTGTAAACTGCAGTTCCGTTTATCTTCACCGGAGAAAGCTATGAGTGGTACTGAGGATAGAAACTTCTAGTCTTGTCCAGTTCTTGAATAGATTTATTGTGGGGACCTTGCTCCAATTTGTGTCTCTTGGTGGGAGTTACTACTTGAAAGTGTCTTATCTGAATGCCTGTCCTACTCTTGTATATGGACCTGTGATTTGTATGCCTCAAGTTGGTGCATGCAAAGACTTCTTCCCTATTTAATACGGCAAACTTTTACTAGGCATCAATGTTGTCTATCTATTTAAGGTTTAATAACTGTCCACACATATGGTAGTTTTGGTTTGGAAGTGATTGTTTTTTCTTTTTTTGGCTTATGAAATATCAAATATACAAAGTTTATAAGTACTTCTACCCTCAATATAATGGCCTATATTAGGATGGTTAAATGTCTTTGGTAAATTATGCATTTTGTTATTGCTGAAGGTTGGAGAGGCTGGGGGGACTTGAATGGAAGAAAGTGGTCCATCAACATCAAGGATGGAGGCTTATCACGTGTATCTGGTTACACGCTGGTGTTATTCATCTGATTGCGAATATGTTGAGTCTTGTAATTATTGGCATACGTCTTGAACAGCAATGTGGCTTTGGTATGTTATGTGTAATGGTCTTTCTAGTTTTGGTCTTGAAATGCAATTATGTACTCAGTTAAAAGTCATCTTTTGTTTTGCAGTGCGCATTGGAATTATATACTTATTGTCTGGCATTGGTGGGAGCATACTATCTTCCTTGTTTATCCAGAGGAACATCTCTGTTGGTGCTTCAGGGGCACTCTTTGGCCTACTTGGAGCTATGCTTTCAGAGCTTATTACGAATTGGTCAATTTACACTAACAAGGTGATAATGCCACTCAATGGATTCCAAAACAATTTGTTACAGTGTCCAATTTTCCATTCTCAATTGAAAGAAAGGTTCAGATAGTGTTACCGTTAGAAACTATAGGACGGAGTCAGAACAATGCACTATATATGTATACTTATCATCATTTTGATATTTGCCATAGGTTTGTGCACTCTTGACGCTTTTGGTGATAGTTGCCATCAATCTAGCAGTTGGAATCTTGCCTCATGTGGATAATTTTGCTCACATTGGTGGATTCTTGACTGGATTTCTCCTTGGCTTTGTTCTGCTTCCACGCCCTCAACTAGGGTGGATGCAACGTCGGAATCTTCCAGCTGGTGTTCGTGTGAACTCTAAATACAAGGCTTACCAATACGGGCTGGGCCTTGTTTCTCTTGTTCTGCTTGTAGCAGGGTTAGTATAAGACACAACTTTGGCTCTAAAAGTAATAGTATGAGTTCATACATAACTAAGTATATATATGTATTTGTCATTTTTATTTTTTCATCTGAAAGAAAATCGCAATGCACCCTGACCAGATTATCCATTTGTGCTTAAAATTGCAGGTTTACCATTGGACTGGTGTTGCTATTCCGAGGGGTTAATGGATATGATCACTGCCATTGGTGTCACTACCTCAGCTGTGTTCCAACCTCTAGATGGAAGTGTGATGGAAATTAACTAGAGATGCTTGCACAGTTTGGCCTGTAAAGCAGTAGTTAAATCATTTGTTTCTTTTAGCATGTTTTCTTCTTTTTAGTTTTTACCACTAGATATCTAGATTTAGTTTGTGTTTATTCATTTACTGTTTTCCCCTTACGAAACAAATGATTCTTAGTAGATAATTCCTGTTGGTGATTTTGCCTTGGCTTTTCAACATATTTGCCTTAATTTTGTTATGTTTGTTGCTGAGATGAAAAAAGGGGAATGAGCAGAACAAAGACAAAAGAAATACTAATAAGGTACTAATTAAGGCACAGGACTTAAAATCAACTTTACATAAGAGTCCAGTGTTGGATGCATGATGGACCTGACAACTGTGTCATGCAACCTGGATGAATTGGACCCTAATATTTATTTGAACACCAGTAGAAGAGATGAAAGTACAACTCTGCTGAGATGAAATCTGTATTTTGGATGGTGGTGGTTGCCCTAATAATTCACGAAGCTGGAGCTGATGATGAATGCAGCACAGTGACAGCACTGGTATCAGCATGTGCCAGCTTCGTGAACTATGGCACACCAGATCCGATTCCAGGTGCACCATGTTGCGTTGCTATGACAACCCTAAGCACTGTAGCTAGCTCCACTGGCGTTCAGACTCGCCAGTCTGTCTGTAGATGCATGATGGAGCTTATTACTACTTACAACCCAAATGCTACTGCCATTGCGACTCTGCCTGGTTTCTGTGGTGTTTCTCTTGGTTTCACCATTGACCCTAACACTGATTGTGAATAGTAAGGCTACTCCAACCCTTTACCACACCCTTTGGAGGTATATAGTTTCAGTACAACGTCTGATCAATCTTTTTCTTTTCTATTTGCAGTGTCTCGTGACAAATTGGTGTCGGGAAAGTGAATGCTGAAGAAGAAACCTTACAAGAACAGTTTGTATTTTGCTATTTACATATGGGTTGTCCAAAGGGAAACTAAGCAAAGACTTGGTCTTTACTTCCTTTGATGACTATAGTATGACGTGAATAATACTTAACGATTGCTCCACATTGACTCACAACAGAATTTGCATTGCATGATAGTAAAGTTTCCGCAGAAACTAAAAGGAGAAAATCTTACTTGAAACTAAAAAACAAAGGAAGGAAAAATGACAAAACTAATACTAGTTGAGAATAAAAATTTGTCTTAACTAAGAGAGAAAGTAAAAAGGCACCAACAACTAGTTCAACCTTTTGCCTACTTCTTGCTTTCTATTTTCTTAGTCAGCATATCACCAACTTGGGTAAATCCACAAGTAACATTAGAGAAAAGTAAAAAGCTTCATGTTGTGGGGCTGTTTGGTTAGAAAGGAGGTGCCATCCAAAGCATGGAACGAATATTATTTTGGGCATTTTCTTCATCCATGGGGCCCAAATTAAAGTATGTGCGATGAGAACTTTCTGGAAATATATGATTGCTACATTTTATCAAACATTGCCACAGGCAAAATTTAATAACTTAAACGACCATCAAACAAGATAATTGCAACCTGTTATTTTCACTTTACAAACACAAGTCTTGATCAACTTGGCAAGTACTTACCTTAGGTCACATTGAGACCAAGGTTGATTTTTACTACTAGAATTTGTACAGCAAGCCTAAAGGAAGCATTTCTCTATTGTCTCTGGCCAAAGGGAGAGCTGGAATGGACAGTACTGCGATGATCAGGTCTCCCTACTCGGTCTGATTGACCTGATCCTGGTTTTGCTTTGTTCCTGAAGTTACCAAGCGATCTCCAACTATTCTCTGAATTTGTGTCTGCATCCACAAGTCCATCAACATACTTTGTCAAACCAATTTTCTCAAACTGCACTCCTTGCCTGGGTGCACTATGTGACCTAAAAAAGGGCAGCCCGGTGCACTAAGCTCTTGCTATGTGCAGGGTCCAGAGAAGGGTCAGACCACAAGGGTCTATTGTACATACCACAAGGGCCAGACCCTGCATTTCTGCAAGATGTTGTTTCCACAGCTAGTTCAAACAATATCCATTTAAAAATCCAGTAAAAGAAGAAAGTTACCTAGATGTGCTTGACAATGTTATTGTCCTTCCACAATCTTCTTTTCTTGGCTCTCTGAAACTGGTTTTCTACCGGCAAATCTGGCCTTCATATTGTTGCACAGGTGAAATATTTATATGAATGTTAAAATCACCCACTTCGGAACCATCAGAAAACTTCAGATGAAAAAATCTTCAGAGTAATTTAATGGTTACATAACTTTTAATCAAATGCACTACCCAAATCTATTCTCAAATCTTGATATTAAAAAATTCCATATGTATTCGATTCAAGCTCCCATCTGGAAATGTTGTGGGATATCGTACTCAGCTCGGCATTTCTTGCTAAACATGGATAAGTATTGGTGAACCAAATTTTGATTCATTGGAACAGTTTCTTCTCTTTTGTGACTTCAATCTCCTGGTTGATGCTGACAGTAATTTTCCCCTCCGGATAATCCACATATAAGAACCATTCTTGGTTTGTTGAATCGTTGGTAACATGTCACTTATCATTCATCTTTAATTTTTAAAGACTACAAGAGAAAAGAAATGAAGCGATGTTAAAGAATAAATAATATGGAAACAATAAGATTCTTATAATTATTATGATCTCGTTCCAGGAACATTGCAACTAAAATATACAAAGTTATCATTTTTCAAGTCAAATGCCCCAAAGGAGGTAGTATGAGGTGATTCATCCATTTCACAGATTTAGTGAGTGCATCACAATACTACCAAATCCTTCTTCTGAAGATGGAAAAGCTAAAAACAAATAACAGAATGAAGAAAAAGAAGCTGGAAGATACCAACAAGTAATACATTTCATAATCATGACTCCATTTTTCCTTCGCTATTCTCCATGTAAATATTCACATCTACCTTCAGCAGTTCTTCAAATATAGATTCCTAAGGTAAAATATGAATTGTATTTGTAATATGATAACCACATAAATATGAATTACTATTTGTTACTCCCTTTGTCCCAAGTTATGTGTAAGGGGTTTGGAGTACGAGGATCAAACAGTTGATTTTGATTATGAATTCATGTATGGAATCTTCAAAATAAAATTTTACATATTTTAAAAAAAGCTTGAGAAAATTGTAGTCAAAGAACCTTTTTTTTACCACAAGGGAACAGATCATTGCACCGACACAGTAGCACCCTTACTTGCATATACATAAGAAGGGAGACCGAGTGTACATGTCATGGATAATTATGCACATTAACATTTATCTGACTTAGTTAAAGTGTCATAAGACCTAACCTCCCCAAAAAGCTGATTAGTGTTTGTTTCAACCACTTCCAGAAGTCTTTCCATCTACAACTTTATTCCTGAACACCTCCTCAGGCAGCACGACCCTGAAAACAGCATAATGGTGATTTAAGCTCCTCTCCCCTTGCAATCTGTGAACACTTCCTAGTGCACCAGCACTGGAATTTGGGGATGAAAAAAATATCCGTCTAACTCTTTGATGTACAAGCGCCATTGCGCACATTGCACATGGCTCCCAGGCCAGATAAATGTCATATCCAGTACATAGATAAGGTCTGAGCGATTGATAACTATGGCCATTGCTTTGGAAGCCAGACTCCTCGATCTTCTGTCTTTTCAAAGGAGATAGAGCTTTGTGATCAGGAAAAAGTTGTAGATCCCTGGCAGCAGAATTTTCAATGGCTACAATGGCCGCATGCCGCAAAGGATGCCAGCAACCAGAGTTTTGCAGTGCCAATTGCCAAGGATGTACACAAGCAACATTGTCAGTTATAGGTTTAAATTCACTAATTGAACCATCCAAAAGTGACATTTGCTGGTTTTCCAAATTAGAGGCTTTGAGGTTTTCTAGATAGTTCGAGCAGCTACCTTCCTTGCAGACCCCATTTGCAAGACTGGCCGAGGATATTACCTGGTCACAAGCACTTGCAATGACCTGCTTAGTTGAAGGATCTACAATAACAGCAGCATTGACCACCTGACCAATAGAAGATGTTGCCAAATTAATGGTGTGTCTCATGAAACCGAAAACTGATTGTGACTCCTCTTCACTAAATCCAGTTATGCCACTGATGTTGTAGGTTGGCGGATGATACGAAGTAGGCCAGAGCTTGCACTGTTCGTCCCATTCTTCTTTTGATGTTGCAGCATATTTGCAAACTTTTGTGATGAAAGTACTCAACTGGTATGATTTGACAAGTTCAAGAATTTCGTATGGCATGCAATCATCTCCACCATCATTTCCAACAGTCATACATAAAAGCAGAGATAATTGAGGTTTCCCCCCATCAATGCTTTTCTTCTGCACACGCTTCACATGTTGCAAATTTTCCAGTGGTGCAATCTTATTTAACTTCCTGACTAGAGTATTGGCATCTTTGGGTTCAATGACAGAAGCAAGCACGTTAACTGTGGGTTGGAGATGAGGAAGAAAGGATGACTTTTCAGGTATGTGAATGATTTTGCAGACTAGTGGCAATACACTCGTTGTATTCTCCATCCTCTCGGTCTCAGTTGCCTTTGCTCAGTTTACTGTGATACAGCCACCCGTGGCTCTAATCACAAACACGGGTCTGGCTTTCAGTGCCTATTTATGCTTCTTCTTTTTCTGCAAAGAAGAAAGATTATTTGACTCCCAAACAGTAACACCTTCACATAATACGGGACAAAGCAAGTATTTATTATTTGCTTCAAATTAACAACTTTTGTTGCATTGCAGCATCACATGTATCTCTTGTGCAACTATCTTGCTCCATCTTCATTTTAGTTCTAAACAATTTAGATATTACCAGTCATTATACTAAAAGCTTTCAAATAAAGTTCCAAAGAAAATGAGCACCCAAATAAGAATAAAACAGAATCTAATAGCCCAGAAAAGCTAAATTGTTCTCTAGTTAATCTCCTAATAATTTCATAGCAGAACAAAAGATCACAGTGAGTGATCTATCCATAAAAGAGGCGGAGCCAGGATTTGCGACTTATGGGTTCTGAATTTAGGACAATGATCTCAAGCTAATAAGTAAAACCGTCAAATTAAAGTACGAGTACAATTAGATATGATTTTTCTAGAATTCAAAGAAAGAGAGTTCCACAAAATCACCACTTGCCAATAATTTACTCAGGCCAACATTATTCTCAAGGAAGAATAACTGAGACACATAAATTGTGATTAAAAATGTTCATATTAAACTGTTCTGGAAAAACTGAGGCTTTCTTCTATGTTCTATCTGCACCTAAGAAAATCTGTCCCTCTTTCCTCTTTTACTCAGGCAAACACTCTTCCTATGGAAGAACAAGTAAGTTAACAATAATCACTTTATTCAACTGAATGAGAAAAAACAGTTACGAATCAAAATGTTACAAGGGTTCGTCTACTTTGAACCATCAGTATTGATAATACATTTGTTTGTGGAGCTTTCAACATAAATACTTTTTCTTTCAATACATTTTCCTAATTAGTTGATACTTTATTAGGTTGCTACCAGTTTTAGCTACTGAATGAGAGGATAAATTCTAGCGAGTATTTCAAAGCTCCATTGAATTTTATGTTACAGAATCAGCTGCGTCAAAGTTTTGTTTATTCTACGAGCCTGGGAAGAGACTCACTTGGACTACCACCCATTAGGTTGGTCCCCCACTTAGTTAATTGCTTAGACAACTCAGTTATTGCCACACTATTTGAACAAGCATTATCAACTATAACAGTGAAAATCCGATGCAATTTCCACTCATGTAAACACTTACTAATAGACTTTGCAAGATCTTCACCTCTATGACTAGAGATTGGAAAAAAGTTGATAATTCTTTTATGCAAAGTCCATTTTTTATCAATCCAATGAGCAATAATGACCATATAATTGATTCTTTGTATGGAAGTCCAAGTATAAGTGGTTGAAGACACCTTTTGTTGTGTTTCCTTGAAAACAGCCTTCATTTTATGTTTTTCTTCATCAAAAAGATCAAAACAATCATGAGTCACAGTGGTACAAGAAGGAATGAGGAAACAAGGTTGTGCTACTTCCATAAATTGTTTAAAACCATCTTTTTCAACAAATCTGAAAGGAAGTTCATCAAGAATTACCATACGACACAAAGCCTTCCTACACTCTTCCTGCACAAATTTCCATGGAACAACAGCTACATCACCCTTGTTACCCCATATCACTGGTTGAAATGCTAATTTTGATTGTTTAATATCAATATTATAAGGCATCTTCTTGCATTTAGGTATATGACCAATCATTGCCGTCGTACCATGTTCTTTTGTGTCAGCAAACTACTCTTGCTTACAATAGTTACAAACACCCTTATCATTTTCATCAGAATTAGTTTTACAAGTAAAATGATCCCACACACAAGATCTTTTTTTCCTTTCTTTCTTTACTTTGGACTGAGCAGTTTGAGTTTGACCTATTGCATTTGAATTAGAAGCTCCACTTTCACCAACAACAAGTTATGATATTTTCAGCCATGATACTTTCACCAAAGACTGCAAAAACATATAAAATAATCATTCATTGAACAATTTCTTATAAGAGGCCGATGAACTGTTGAAGGAATTAAACAGAGACTGAACAATAGCTAAAACAAATTATAATGCCAATTCAAACAGTAGTTTATTGAAGCAAGAACTACAAATGCTAAGTAGAATCAGAAGTTACACACAAGACACAAGTAGAAGACTACAAAGTACAAACAAATGATCCAAAGTGCCAAGATAAATGCCAATTCAAAAAAAAAACAGTAATGCCAATTCAACTCTTTCAATTGTAGTTTTCTCATTAATCAAATCCAAACGTGGCAGTGAAATCAAAGTGCAATTTAAACTTACCAATTGCAGAGATTGAGAAATAGTGAGCGCGTGACCAGAGTTGTAATACTGAGAGTGAAATTGTGAGCTTCAGAGAGTGAAATGGAGGCAGTGAGCGACTGAGTTTTGTAAGACCTAAGTGAAAATTCACAATCATTTTCTCATAAATCAAACCCAAACATCACACTTGACAGTGAAATCTTGAAATTAAAATTTTGAGACTTACTTGTGAGCGGAGAGTGAAATTGCGAGCTTCTAAGTCCTGAGAGTCAATGAGAAGTGAGAAGACTCGAGCTTCTAATTTGTGAGCACGATGAATCAGTGAAATTGTGACTCGTGGAGTTGTCGTCGTCACCTGAGTGGATGAGGAGTGAGACTCGCCGTCGCCTCGCCTGAGGACTGTATTAGTGGCGCTTTGACTTCTAAGACTAAGTCCTAAAAACCCTAACTGGGAAATAGGAATAATATATATAAATTGGGTTGGTTGAGTGTTGAAATAATTAAGTAAACAAATTAAAAGGTGGTCTTTTAATCTTCAGGGGCACTCTTTGTTCCTAGTTGGTGGGGGCGGAGCTACATGAAACTTAGGGGGTCCGGAGTTGTTAAAAAATATTATATATATAGGATTGATTTACGAGTATATATTTAAGGGAAAAGGGCCTGATATACCCCTCAACTTTGTCATTTGGAGCTGATATGCCCTTCGTTATGAAAGTGACTCATATATACCCTTACCGTTATACAAACGGCTCACATATACCCCTACCGTTACAAAATGAGCTCACATATACCCTTCATTTAACGAAAGTGAAAAAGTTAAGTTTTAAATTTATATTTTTGACTTTTGATTTTCTTAAAAATTATTTAGGGGTATATATGATTCTTCTAGCAAAGTTCAAGGTATATTTCAATCTTTTTCATACATAGATTATTTTTTGACTTCTTTTATTATAATTATTTGAGTTTCTTATTCTTATTTTATTTTTTTCTTTCATTCCTTAGTGTAAAGAAAAA